TTTTTATTTTGGAGAGGTTTTTGCTACAGGGCGCGTGCGCTGGCCAGAAAGACAGAGAGACACAGAGAGACAGAAAGCGAGAAATCACCCCCCCAGGAGGGATGACCACACCACAATCCCTTCTCCTCCATTCTCCTCTCAGGATCTTGGGCACGCACGCACACGCGCCCGGTGTGAGTTTAAGCCACCAGGTCTGGGACTCGAACTGCAGTTGACTACAGGGCAGTCCGGTGACATAGCCATTATGCCAACTGCTAGTCCCTGATTGTTATTTTTGAACTTGCTATAGGGCGCATACATTAACTAGAGAGAGAAGCAACCTGCCAGGTCCGGGACTCGAACCATGGTCAGCCATGTGGGAGTCCAGCACCTCAGCTACCATGCCACCTGCTGGCCCGTCGCAGTCGTTTTAAATGACATACCAAGCAGTAGTTGCACCCACTGTCTCCTCCATGCATATGAGGGAACAGCCTTTCTAGCCTCTCAACTCCCTGTGGTTGGTTTCCAGGGGAACGCAGAACGATCGTGTCATGCACACGGATTGTGAACAAGACCACGACTCCGGTGAACGACAGTGACTGCCCTGAGGCAAGCCGCCCAGAGCCCCAGGTCCGGAGGTGCAACTCCCACCCATGCCAGTCACGGTAAGTGGCTGTATTCTGCAGCTTGAGCCCATCAGGGACTGGGTCCCACCCCTGCGAATGGAGAAACCGTGGTACACAGTGCTATAGGCTCGCTCTGGGCTGTATTTCTGCTTGCTCGAGAGACCGAGTTTCTAGCTGTGGAGTCAGCGCTCTGGTGGAGATGAACAATCCTAGCTGGAAGGTGCCCTGTAGGAGACCTTGAATAACATCTCACAGAGAGGCCAGCAGGGGGCGTGGTGGTTCAGGTGCTGGATTCCCACATGGCCGACCATGGTTTGAGTCCTGGACCTGATAGCTTGCTTCCCCACTTTCCCTTTTTTTTCACTGTGGTCAAATGAAAAAAAACAAAAAACAAAAAAAACAAATAATGATGACAAATTTAAAAATTAAATGAATAATTGTTTCAAATGACATCTCACATAGAAAAAAAAAAGCCATCACTTCCTACTTTCAGTTAGTACCTGATGGCTCTCCCAAATTGGTGTGTCTTAGAGAAAAAAGATGCCCTAGAAACAGGATGTCAACAGTTGATTCTGCGGTCCCATTGATACTATTGGTGACAAAGATGAGATGGGACTCAGAGAGCCAAGCTCCAGGTCACCCTCCACATTCCTAGCCATCAGCCTCCCCAGCAAGGGTAGAGTCTGAGTACCCGGGAGTAAGTGCGCATGCAGGTTGATATTTGTGGTTGACCTGTTTTGGTGGCTACAATTAACGCCCAGGAGTGGCAGATCTGACGTTCAGGGTTTGCAGTTTATCTGGACCTCTGTCCCAGTCCCGACACCCGCGGCCGTCTGATACGCATGCTCTGGAGTGAACTCTCTCTGGTTGTCCGACCTGAATTGGATGAAATGTGCTCTTGAGTTGAGCCTCTTTCTGTCCTCGTTGTCTGGTGAGATTTTACCTAGCACTAGGGCTCTGTTACGTGGTGTAAGATTATACCTCTTGACCTCCTGCCATGCTCAGAGTCGAGATAAATGGTATTGGTTCCGTGGTTCTGTGGGTCGTGGCCAGGCTTCGCTGTGGCAGTTTTTCGGGTTGCTTAAGTTCAGATCACACTGCTTACTTGCGTATGTGTTTCACGGAGCCTGTGGGTTTTGTAGCAACCTCCTTTGCTTTGTCAAACTCTTAAAATGTAAGAGAGAGAGAGAGAGAGAAATAAAGAAAGAAAAACAGGGCAGTGAGACCTATTTCATTGATTTTATGTGCTCATTGGCAACTTCGGAATGAAATTCAGGGGCCAGCAGGTGGCGTGATGGTTAAGGTACTGGACTCCCACATGGGCAATCGCGGTTCAAGTCCCGGACCCAGCAGCTTGAAAATCATGCCGAGCATGTGTGCCCAAGATCCTGAGAGAAGAGTGGAGGAGAAGGGATTGTGGCATGGTAATCCCCCCAGGGATGCTTTTTCACTTTCCTTCTTTCAATCTCTCTCTTTCTCTTTCTTTCTCTGAGAAGCACACACACCCCATGGCAAAAACCTTAAAAACTATTTTTTTTAAGGTGCTGGCATGTGGCATAGTGGTTAAGGTGTTGGACTCCCCCATGGCAGACTGCAGTTTGAGTCTCTGGCCTAGTAACTTGAAACTCACACCAGGCTCATATGCATGTGTGCCTCGAATCCCAAGATGATAATAGAGGAGAAGAAATTGTGGCATGCCTCCCCCCAACTCTCCGCTTGGGGAGTGATTTCTCACTTTCTGTTTCTCTGGCGAGCACATGAATACCATAGCAAAAAAAAAAAAACTCAAAAAAAATTTTTAAAAAAGCTTTTTTTTATTTAATAAAGAATGAAATTCAGGGCTGGATGGTGGTACAGTCGTAAAACGTGATGCTCCGCAAAGCCAACCCACATGGAGAGGTCCCTGGTTCACATCCAGAGAGGTCCCTGAGTATGCTGGGCACTTGTATGCCTGTTAGTTGGGGGTGGATCATGGCATCAAGACCAATCGGAGGTGCTTTCTCTGTTCTCTCCGTTTATCTCTCTCTCTCCTGAAAAAAAAAATTAATTAATAAACTTAAAAAAAAAAAAAATTCCACCCTAATACTGAATGCCTCTGCAGAAAGGAAGTGCCCACTGTAGAAAGTCTTCTTAAGCATCTTGGGTATGAATGGCCACCCTGCAAGTCAATCAACTGGACAGCCAACCAATCAGTCACATGTAGCACCAAAGAAGGAGGGACTTGTCCCTGTAAAGACTCAGTGATTGGACAGGCCAGTCTCTCCTCTAGAAACCAAAGATGACTCGGCCCTAGTGAGGTAATTAGAAATTAGGATAGATTTGGGATTAGTAGATGCTATAATGGTTACCTTGCTGGGGCCCCACACAGTCAACTGCATTTTGGATCCTGGATCCAATGGCTTGAAACTCAAGCATAGCACGTATACATGCATGCCTAAGATCCTGAGAGGAGAATGGAGGAGAAGGGATTGTGGCGTGGCCATCCCCCAAGCATGACTGAACAAAAAGGTCTTAGGAATCATTCAAGAATCATATTTTGGGCCAGCACATGACTTGGAGGTTAAGGTGGCTGGATTCCACAAGGCCAGCTTTGCAGTTCAAGTCCCAGACCCAGTAACTTGAAAATCATGCCAGGCGCGTGCGTGTGCGTGCTCAAGGTCCCCAGAGGAGACTGGAGAAGAAGGGATTGTGGTGTGGCCATGGCCCCTGGGGGGTGCTTTCTCACTTTCCCCTCTCTGTCTCTCTCTGGTAAATGCACGTGCTCTGCACACACAATTAGTTACACCTGCATTTGGATACTATTTTAGAATCTATATCTTTAAAGAATTATGCGTAGACCGCAAATAAAGTGGAACCAAATCAGAGCTGCTGTGATTCAGTTGAGACTCGTGATGAACAAGTGCGGGTCGGCCCCCTCCCCTGCCACGGTAGGCACACGGCACCTCTGCGGAGCTCCCAGGAACAGCGTTAAACAGCTGTCAGCCGAGGGTTCTGCTTCCTGTAATGATCAAGTCGCTCATTCGAACCAGCCCTTCCGCAGATAACAAGTAGGACGTTGCGGAAATATAAAAGACGACCGTTTTGAAGCAAGAAGGCAGGCAGAAACTGGAGGGAAATAGGCAAGTGAGAGGAGAGGATGACAGTGCATTCATTCCGCAGGTTTATCGTTTTTCAACCAAGTAGAGGCCCTAGTTGGATCCTTGTAAGACAGCTAAGGTTCTGGTAGGTACCAGGCTGGCTCTGTAGAGGAATGGTTAAAGGAGTCAGATCCCACATAGCTTACCATAGTTCGAATCTCAGCCCCAGCAGGGACTGGAAAAACATGCTGGTCCCATGTACGTGTGTGCATCAGATCCCCATGGGATGGAAGCTGGAAGCCGTGTGATTACAGCATAACCACGCCCCATCAGGGGAGGGCTTCCTAGCTCTCTCTGTCCTTCTGTCTCTCTCTGATGAGTACATGTGCCCTCTGGCAGTTAAAAAAAATACATGGGTGGGAGCCAGCAGTTAGCGTAATGACTCCCACGTAGTTGGCCACGGTTCGCGTCCCGGACCCGGTGGCTTAAAACTCACGCTGGGCGCATGTACGTGCGTGCCCAAGATCCCGAGAGGAGAATGGAGGAGAAGGGATTGCGGCGTGACCATTGCCCCTGGGGGGTGATTTCTCGCTTTCTGTCTCTCTGTCTCTCTGTCTGTCTGGCGAGCGCACACGCCCTATAGCAAAAAAAACACAAAAAACAAAAAACATAGGGGACCAGCAGGTGGCGTAGTGATTAAGGTGCTGGACTCCTCCATGGCTGACCGTGGTTTGAGTCTCAGACC